ACGATACGATACGATACGATACGATACGATACGATACGGCACGATACGAAGCGAACCGAGGAGAGCTCTGATCCCGTTAAATGGGACACGCGCGTGCACGCGGAGCGTTTCACCCCGGCGGAAGCTCTTTATTACCGTCGATGATCGATCGCTCGCTGCTTTCTACCTTAATTGATGTTACCTCGAGCCGCGTTCCGTTTGCTTTCTCCCTTTCGCCGTTTTCGGCATCAAAGTGACCCTTCGATCCGTCCGGCGCGGCGTTTAATGGACCGCCGTCTCTTGGCCCGTGATTCCGACCATTTCGGGGACTTCATCGTCGCGATCGGCCCTCCGATGACGTAATCTTCACCGTGACGGCCCCCTTCCCTCGTCGCGTAACTGTTACCGACGTTCGGAATTCGGTCAATGTGAACGCTATCATTGATGATTATGCGTTCGAGGAATCGGGGAAACTGGTGACGAAAGTATCGCGGCGAAGTGGGGTGTACGGTGGAAGGGATAGAATTGGTTAACCGTTTGCGCTCGAATAATGGCGACTCCGAGCTTTTATATTTGAATTCGAAAGATGCAAATGAATAATTTAATTGTTCAAATAACGAGAGGTAGATACGTGGTTTTCGTTTTTTCTTGTGTTTAAGACTTCGATACGTAATTCAATGTTTTCGTGGACAAGTTCTCATAAGTTTCGAAAAGTCCCGACCGCAAAGAGTTAAATGAGAAACATTGTAGAGAGGTATGGTAGTGGAAAGTAGCAAATGTAACAAAAGTGGAAGAAGGTTAATGTAGGAAAGTGTAGAGAAGTAGAGTAGTCGAGAAAAGTAAATCTAAACAAATATAACGAAGTAGAGGACGTCAAACGTATTAAATCCAAAGAAGTCTAACGAAGTGCAGTAGAATGCAACAGAAATTGCATTAACATAAGATACTTTCAGTTTCAACTTCGACGATCGATCTACAGAACAATCAAATTTAAATGATAGTAAATGAAAATTTATATTTAACCCTTTGCAGGCGGATGTCGGCATTTCTATAAGATGAAATATTCATATCTGGAAGACTAACTCGCGAACAAACGATTTAATTAAACAGGAAGAGGTCAGACCGTAGTTTCCTCTTCTATCAATTAATCAATTGATCTGTAATTTAGCTTTATATGTTGAAGGTTTTGCATGTTTCGAAGAATTTTCGTCCGCAAAGGGTTAAATCAGTTTCTCGCAGAAATAAGATTTGACGCAGAAAAATTTTGAGTATAATATTTAATGTTAAACTTCGAGTGATGCATTAATATGTGAAATATTTAAAAAAACAGCCTCTTTCTTCAATTTATGTACGATTTCTGAAGCCAGTTTCAAGAAGTGTTAACTACATTTCATCGGAAAGTGTTAGGTACTTTTGGCAGAAAACACTCGGAGTGCAAAGGGTTAATTGCCCCGCAAGTGAGTTTCCCTCGATAACATTAACGCAGACGGTCGTCGCGTTTCCTCGTTATTCCGCGATCGCGGGACCGTGGAATATTCGTCGCGGCATCGATCCGCTAGGTCAGTTTCCTCGGGACTCAGACGTGTTCCCAGCGTCAGCGCTGGGTCTGCAGGTACGGACGTTTTTTCGTATAATGAGGATCAACTCCTTGTAGACGACGAGATAGCGTCCCTTTCTCTCGGGTCGCACAAAGCGACGGATTGCTCCACTCGGCATAAATCTGACGGCATTTTTACGATTACCGATAATCCCGAGTGTCCCAAAGAACCGGGTAAAAGGGATCCGCTTTAAAAACGATGAAAAAGAATCCTGTTCCCGTGTCGCTGGGAGCTTCGCAGGAATGCGCCCTTTCAGCCGTCCTCCAAAGCGCTCCTTTCATCCTTAATCCCGTTGCGTAGGTGGAATTAACGTCTCTGATATACCTTCGAGATCACAGGCTTCAGCGGCAACTCCCGGAGGCCCTGGCCCGCGGATCGCACGGCTATCCGACGCTGCTCGGGCCCCTTGCAAAATCTAAATCACCTGCGCACGATTAATTACATGTTTCTTAATCGACTCTTTCAAGCTTTCAACTGTTACCTTCCACTCCGCTCTCCAAATGAAACGCAATTTAACTCTTTTCAAGGGTACACCGTTGCTTTCGCGAACTTAACACTTGGTCAAATTGGAAGTGTCCGAGACAGCTGCGGCTAAAGCGACTCGGGATCTCGTATCGATACGAATGAACCTTAAGCATACTCGAATTTACGGCTTTTTATCGTTGCAGATACTCCAGCGTTCGAAGTAAGATCAATCGAGCACCGAAGTAGATTCATTGCGTCAACAGTTTAAAATGTTGTAATGATTTGTATCGTGGAACTTCTTTTTGTACTTGATTCCCTAGCGAAACGTCAGTTAATTGGAAATACCGTGCACGGTTTATCGATTGGCCCACCGGAACTTCCGGAGGGTCGTTGGTCAATGGTTTACAGTGTAAAATCTCGTCGACGACGACGCGTTAATTGCTCGCGCATAATGCATCGACGTTGTTACACCTGCGCGAACGCACGTAGGAAACTGTAATCCCGTTCGTTAAGGTGGATCCGCAGTTGTTAGTGAACGTCGATCTTAAAACTTGTTACCGTGCTGTCCGGCGTAAGCCGATGGAGTTTCCGAACTTTCAGCGCCGCGCCTCCCTTAAGCCCCGCCGCCCTATTTACGGAATTCATGGTAATTCACACCTTTAGCGCGATAATGCTCGCTATCAGCCACTAATCGAAGATAAACGTTTCCATTAATTACCGACGCGACGAATAGCGGTATAATCATCCCTCTAACATCTTGTACATTAGTAACCATATTCCCGTAATTATCTCCGACAAACTAACGATAATTAGAGACAAACCAAAAACGCGTCGATCACAAATTAACCCTCTGTAGGCTTATGTAACTTCGAAGTCACATATTAGTATATTGGCATCTCGTTGATTTATTTCGTTGTGCAGTCAAAGTGGCGAAATTGAGTAATCAGTTAACTTAGGCTTTTAAGTTTAATGTCGTTGTAATTTGAAAGTTAGAAGATATATTCGTTTGATGAAAGTATCGAAGCTATCGAATAATTAATAATAATTTTGTACTGCATAGGTTTTGTTATAAGTATGTACAAAAATTGTGCCCACAGAGGGTTAAATCATCTCCACTCTATAGTCGCATTTTCAAGTCAATATCAACCATACAGAAGCAATCAATACTCCATTTCACAATTCCACCCGAAACCTCCGTCGCTTTATCTTCATCAAAGTATCTTCAAGAATCCGAACACCGAAATTTCCCGTCCATCGCGATGAAAACCTGAAAATCTCCGCCGATCGAATCTCCTCGGAATCGCCAGAGATTCGATCTTCCAGCCGACATTCACGGCCGACTTCGCGTGCGCGTAGGTCGTTCGCGGCTCCGCCGAAACGTCGGCGGCGTTCCCGAGCCCGGAAACCGCGGGAGCCTCGAGCGGTTCCGGGCGGACGATCGGGAGTCGCCGTTCGAAATCTACATCCATAATCGCCGGTATGAAATTCAAATTGGACCTTTTGTGCCGGGTCTGGCGCGAACTTGCCGCGAACTTTTCCCCTGAAAGGGAACGCCGCGGAAAGTATGCGGCCGGCGGTACACTTCGCGGGCCGCATTCACCGCCGCGAACTCCGAATACTTGGGATACTTGAGCCACTTCTTGCGCATCCCCCCCGGGGGGATTATATAACGTCGGGCCGAACCGGGCCAGCGCGACGCGACGTCGATTTACAGTGCTTTTAGTCACGCTGCCAGCCGAACTCGGACAAAGGGATCAGTCCCGGCCGAAGATCGGGATGCGATCTTAATTGCATTAGTTGGAACGATTTTCGGCGCCGGGCTCTCTCCGCGGGATTTTCGCTTTTCGGCGTCTTCGTCCGACGAGTGGGTCGAAAACGCGGGGGATGGGTTATTGATCCCAGATCCGCGAGATTAACTTTGATTTAATCCTTTGTGAAAAGTTGGTTAGCGAGCAAGTGGATTCGCTCGGAGGAGGATCACGCTGGGTCCGGAATTTCTATTATTCTCGTCTAATGGCATTATCTTTCGCCGATTAGAGATAATGTTGTTGGAGTCACTGATAATGTGACGTTCGCGAAGTTTCGTTTTATAGGATCGCGGAATTGTTATAGGTTTTTGTCGTTTACTGGGGGAAATTGAGAGTTGGAGCTAACGTTTGAGTTTTTGAGAAGGAATTGTCGTTTAAATGTAATGTAAACGTTGAGAGATTACTAGATTGAAATGTTGATTTCTTCTAATGGCATTATTTACCGATTAGAAATAATACTGTTGGATTTATTGATAATATGAAATTAACGAAGTTTCGTTTTATGGAGTATTGGAATTGTTGTAGATTTTTGTTGTTTACTGGGAGAAATTGAGAATTGGAGCTAACGTTTGAGTTTTTGAAAAGGAATTGTGAGTTAGATACAAGGCGATCGTTGAAAGGTTACTAGATCGAAATGTCAATTTCTTCTAATGGCATTATTTTTACTGATTAGAGATACTATTGTTGGATTCATTCATGATACGAAATTAACGAAGTTTCGTTTCATAGAATTTTGGAATTGTTACAGATTTTTGTTTACTGTAAGAAATTGAGAATTGTAGCTGACGTTTGAGTTCTTGAAAATGAATTGTCATTTAGATATAAGGCAAACGTTGATCACTAAAGTTGAAGTGTTTACCCTTTGCACTCCATAGGCTCGATTTCGCACAGAAAAATTTAGTATAATATTTAATGTTAAGTTTCGTGTGATGTTCATTAATATGTGAAGTATTAAAATAAAACAGCCTCTTCAATTTATATACGATTCGTGAAGCCAGTTTCAAGAAATGTTAATTACATCCCATCGGAAAGTGTCGGGTATTTCCGGTAGAAAACTCTCGGAGTGCAAAGGGTTAACTCCGACACAGTTGAATTCCTTCAATTCTTTGCTTCGCGCGACAGTTTATCAACGATCTTAATTTGATTACAGCCTGATTCACCGGGACACTAGGCCGGAGCCACTGATAAGGTGTTCGACGTTAAGGGAAGCAACGAGGCTGCCGTCCGCTCCGGACCACCGGAGCGAGGCGCGTCTGAGAACCGACCCGAAGGTGTTGGTGTTCGTGGAAACGCTGTACTCGATGCTCGGCAAAAACATCGCGGAACTGCTCGTCTCTAATCGAATCAAGTGAGTACAGACAAGCCGCAGATACCGTGCATTCAGGCTGCGGGCATTTCCGCGGCCGCGATAAGAGTTATCGTTTGTGGCACGCCTTCGCGCGGAAATTCGTAGATCACAGGAATTTCGTAATGATAAATATTTTGCTGTAACGTAAACAAGTTCAATTGCACTCTGTATATTTCACTATTAGTTTCTTGAAACAGAGAAAAAGGATTTCAACTGAAGAACCTTTGAAGTTGAATCTACCTAGAATCGACAGTTATAATCGAGACATTTAATTATGTGAACAGTAATGATGCATAGTTACTATTTAAAACGTTGACAATTAATGTAACATCCTATTGAAAAGAATTATTTTTAATAGCTAGGATTTCTATAAGTTCTTCAGAAAAGGTTAATCGATTACAATTGAATTTTCTGAATCACAGTGTATTTATTTAGAGAAGCTTGCTTACGTTACGACCTAATAATTTTACACATCGACGGTACGATTGCTGCGGGAACTCTTTGTTTTCCAATCGGCGACGCGATCGTCGACGTTCCCCGGCGCAGGAAAAAAGATACATTCATTTTTTCAGCGTTCCGCGGAAACACCGAGACCGGCGCGCTTCCTTTTTGCTCCTGTTTTTCGTACATTCCGCGGCGTTACCGCGATTACTCGTATCGCGGCGCGCGTTCCGACGCGAGACGCGAATTATTCCGTTGGGTTTTTTCTACCGCGATAGCTAGTCTGTTTTCCGATAGCTTGTTCCCGTGCTCGCGCGATACGCTGCTCCGGATCGAAGTTATTTTTTCGGGGATGATATTGTTGCACTTCAATCTTCTCTTATCGGAAACGATAAAATATATTATGATCAGAAAATAATGCTAGGAGAGACGATGAGAAAATAATACTGCCAATGCAAGAGATTAGATATTAGTCGCTTGTTTGATTTTAATACGAGAAATGGAACTGTCTGATTATTGGAGTGTTTCAAGTTTCTCTGGTAGATTATAATTAAGAAATAGAGTTAGAAATGACGTTAATACGAGAGATTAAGTCTACCTCTGTTCAACTTTAGCTCTTTTATACAGTAAAATTATAAACTTTTGTGTTTACCATTAACCTTTGTATACTGCGTGAATACGTGAAATATTGAAAGAAAGTAGCTTTGTTCCCTAATTTACGTGATTTCTTGATAAATTAATTTCGAAGGATCTTGTCTACGTCTACTTGGAAAGTATTGAATATTTCAAGTGAGAAACTTTCGAGTGTAAATGGTTAATACGCGAAATTCTGGAGCCTATTGAAATCTTTCAAAATCAATTATGAAATGGTTCTATACTGTAACCATAAAACAAAGTTAAGAAAGATGATACGAACGCAGGAGGTTCGGTCTAGCCGCGTTTCTCTTTGATTTCCATGGAAGTGGAGCTGCCGGGAAATTGAAACATAAGAGGATATGTGGGACGCGAAAAGAGGCGACCGGTTTCCATCTCTAAAGATAGAAAATCAGACGGGCCGCTGATTACCTGGGAAAATCAAAGGCGGAAAGGAACCTTCAAAGTTCCTTCTAGAAATAGACACGTCTGTTTTATGATGGCGTCGCTAAACTAGGCCGCCGGGAGCAAAGTAGTCGGCGATTAACGGCAAAAGGGGCGGGCAATAAATCATAATCGTCTCTGCGCGATTATTATCGCGACGCGTTCTCAAAGGAGCCGGCCGATCGATCGTTAATAGAACGCAAACAGCCCGAGCCGATCGTCGCGGAGAAGAACGAGAAGACGTCCGCCATTATTCTAGTAATTCAAACGACCGGCCCGTTCTCCGTCACTTCCGCAAACTTTGCGCCTTCGTTTCGCCGAAAAAAAAGGAACTAAAAGAAAGAAAGAAAGAGAGAAAGAGAAGAAAAGGAAAGTGGAAGGAAGAATTATTCCTTCGAACGAAACGGCCGGGCCGGTGGCAACGGTTTCACGAAAACTGGGTCATTCGCGTTTAACTGGCAACGAGTCTACTTGAAGTCGTTTCACTTAATTGCGGCGAAATTGACGCGTGAATAGCTGCGCGTCTGGGTACGCTTGATTTTAATTCTGCTTGATTCTGATGATTATTGTGCAGATTCTGCTTTGCCTCGGATACGAGAGGTTTCTTCAGAAATCTGTCTCCGGTTCGCGTGCCGAGAATATCGTTACTTGTTGATCGTGTTTGATATCGTACGGATAAAGACAGATTAACCCTTTGAACTCTGTAGCCTCCAATATTGCATCGGTTATAATACTAAACATTTTAATGAATCTTAACACTAGAACTACCGTACCAGTCACAATGACTGGTTTCAGATTTCCTGTTTCATAGTCATTGATATCTTCAAAGCACTGAACATTCGAAATGATTTTGAAAATAAATAGTTTCGCTTGAATACTATAATCAATGCCTTAAACCGAAAATAATCTATTACTACAATATTCATAGCGATTACATTTCAATCGTATCAAATGCTCGTAAAATTATTAGATCTTCCACATATCCAAATTTTGTACTAAGAAGGAAAATAAATGATCGAAGAAATATAGCATTCCTCATTTTCGCTAGGAATACTATAAGAATTAGCTGCAGTTGCTGGTAGATTACGAAACAGTCTGGAGTGCTAAGGGTTAATGGTGATCGGCGAAGGGATCGAAGATGGAAGTACGAGGCTCGGTTGACGTTTCGAAGTGGAATGTCTTCGGTTTTCGAAAGTCGCCAACGATAGATAATTAACGGAGGAAACGAAGGCGTGAATGAAGAGATTATACGGCTCCGGCCGGCTCGAAAGCGGCGGGAACGAAATTAATAACGCAAAAGTGACGGCAATAACAGTAACGCGAACGCTCGAGCGGGTTTCATTAAAATTACCCCCGCGGCGAGCCGGGAATTTCTTTTCTCGTTACGGCACACTTCGTTCTCATCTCGGAGCGCCGTGTCGAACAAACATTTTTATACTCCGCGGATGGAATACTAAAAGGAACCTCCTGCCCTTACGTTAATTAGAACGAAGGAGGGCGTATTCAGCTCTCCTGCGGCGTCTCAGGTACCTCGTTCCTGCGCGATTTCCGACATTTTTTCGTTGGAATAGCGATTCACCGGCGCGAACGCGGAGCAAAGCCGTTTCTCCTTGTTGTAACCATATAACCGAACCCATTGTTGACCCGTCAGGATCAATTTAAATAATTAATAAAATACAAGACCGTGGAAACTGATCACGCGTCGCATAACGTTCCTTGATTTATCTGCATCAACTCGACTTCACCTGCGATTTAGTCATTAAAATTTGAACATCGCATAACGTAATGATAGAATTAACCAGTAACAAGATTATTTAGCTAGTGAATGATCTGTCGATCATCCAGCGATCACTTATTCACCGGTAGATCGATCCATTCGCGACGTCCGCATTCGTTAGAAAGGTGAAAAATCAACGGAAAATGCTAATCGCGCGTAATATAACGGTTCAGTAGACACCAGATCGCACGCGGTATTTCCCGGGGAACCAGATTCTTGGATAATCACGCAATAATGACCGACTAATACGATACGATGGCCAAACTGCAGGGAATTAGTCGGATCAACGTCGGAGAACACGCAGTAGAACGGATAGAGACGGATAGGGGATACGATAACCAGCCCCCGTGAACCGGATGAGGCTTCATAGGTAGATAAAGTGACAGTCGGAGTATGACGCGGTGTCATGGAAAATGCACCTGTGTGCGTGTAACCGGAGAGGGTAAGCGAGCGTCGATTTGCGGAGCGGCTGCAACGCCGGACACGTTAACAACGATCCCCGTTAGAGGCTGCGCTGTATGTTTATGTAAATTCACAGTTTATTAACTGGGTCCCGCGGAAATGAGAATTAAATAGGTGTTTATAGGCACACCCCGTACAGCACGGCAGGTTAGGTTTCAATGGAGTCGCGTTTACGCGGCCGGCGCGATAAAGAACAATGGCGAGTGCGCCCCGTGCCAATTGTTTCAGAAGGGCACGCGATCCCGGCGTTCGAATCATTGTCGCGCGCTCAGTTTTCATTCGGAGTTATGATATTTTGTTACCGTTAATTAAACGACGCGGCAAAATTCCCCGTGAAATAGAATTATCCCCGATGTCTGACCATACGCGGGATCGTTCCACTTGCTCGTGCCCTTCGCGCGTTCACAGCGGTCCCGATTGTCCCGCCGGTACCCGTTGGTGATATTTTTGCGTTCAGCGTTTCCGTCTGATCGAATACAGGCTGATTCCACTTGCGTTCCAGCGAGGCGGAATTCACTGTACGTTCCATTTTGTTGTTACGATATTAGCTCGTGTTTCTGCCGCCGTTCTTGAATTTTAATCACCCCCCCGCGACACGAACGCGCACCAACTTCACACTGTAATTTAATATTTATCACCCACTGAACGTGTTCAGTATTTCGAGTTTAGTACCGCCGTCGTGAAACATTGGATTTATGAAACCGTATCGCTTCTCCATCCGAATAGAAAAAGGACGCCGAAATGTGTCGTTATACGAGTGTTACTCCACCTAATTCCGCAATATAGATCTCATATTCAAATGCTCCCAGTACTCTAGCAACAAGTCCCGCACTAAAGCCGCTAACCAGTGCGAATACAATTATTCGAAACGTGCACAGCGACACATTAAAACCTGCGATACTACCACTCTTAGACTCCTCGAAATTATTCTCTAAAAAACATTTATCACGATATTCTAACGTCATAGAGCATCGCAGCGCGATACAGAACATTTGTATATTTAAGCCCCGGAACTGGAAAGAACAACAAGTCGCAATTGCCGCGAAAACAGCTTCCATCTATTCCGATCCATGGATAGCGCGTCCATTGTGTTTTCCCCAAACTTCCCCGGCGCGGTGCTAGAGCCTCGCAGCCTATCGACAACACAACGCTCGTCGGAAAAAAAAACCGTTTCGTCGCCACGGGAGCGACAGAAACCGGCGGTCCGCGTGTTCGACGCTCGCGAGCGCGCCCCTGTGTCTGT